AAAGGTGTTTCCTATCTATCCATCAATAACATCAGTCAGGGAAGTGCACCCCTTCCAACCAGGCTTCCAGGGGAGAAGGGTGTCGTTGTTCTTCCTCTTCTTCGCCTGGCACGCTTGCTCTTTCTTTTTGGAACAGGCTGTGGGAATTCTCCCCTCTCCTTCCAGCGGGCCTTCTGCTTCCAGCTCTCCTATTATCCCAGGAGGAAGCGAAATGTGCCGAGAGGCCCAGACTCAGGAACTGGGGCAAAGGAATGAAGGGACAGAAAGGGGCTTGTGCCAGTTTAAGGAAACTCTGCCAGGACAATCTGAAGCAGCAGCCTGCAGGGTAAAGCCATGCCGATTTCCCAGAGCGGGACATACCGCCTGAAGTTACCGCAGGGAGTCCAACACCAGAGAAAAAACTGTGCCAGTGCCGTGTGGGGGTGGGGGTGGGGTGGGGCAGGCGAGCAATTCCCTCTTCTTGCTCATTCAGAGACACGGAGAACCCAAAGGCCTTCAGGAAGGGAGCAGAGCCTGGAAAAACCCTTCCTCAGCAGCTGGCCCGTTAGGTCACCGCCTCTAGTTAATCAGTGACCTGTTTCCCAGAAGCCGACAGGGATGGCTCCAGGGCTGACGGAGCAGAAGTTGCACAGAAGTTAGAGATCACCTCTCAGTGAAAAGGAGCTGGACTACGACGGAAGCCACCCATCGGGCAGAAGCAGAAGCAGGGGAAACATGGAGGCAACATGGGGGTGCATGGAGGGGTGGGTGTGCCTGCTGCATACCTGCCAGCATGGCAGTCCCAAGGAATCAGTTACTTTGGTCCTCAGCCTCCTAGCCTCAGGCAGGTGCAGGTCTTCAACAGCCGTCACCCCTTCTCCAGGGACATCCCATCTCCTGCTCCCTAAGAAGCCGTTTTGAAGTCTGCATTGATTTGAGCCCCTTCACACGATGGCTATCAGGAATGGGCCCTTTTCAGACTAAGGCTGTCCCCAGCCTGCAGGGTTGCCAGGAGGGCAATGAAGGCAGAGCACAGCCTCTCCCCCCCCCCCCCCCCTTGTGATAACACCAGCTAATAAGGAACTGATCCCGGTGGCTCAGTGGCCTCAGCAAAAGGAGGAAGCGTCTTCGCCCGCAAAGCCCAAGCCCGAGGGCTGGGCTGGGCCATCAGCAGCAGGGGGGGGGAACTCACCACTCCCGCCTCCTGGGGAAGCACATGCCTACGGCTGCCCCTCCGAGTCCTGCCCCACACTCAGCTGCCCTCTGGCAAATGCTCTTGCCTTCGGCGGCTCTCCCGCCCGGCTCCTGCTGGCCAAAGATGGGGAAATGGAAGACGGGGGCAGGAGGAAGGTTTTCAAGACATCCCCGGGAGGAGGGGAAAGGAGATGGCAGAGAAACAGATTGCACCAGATTGCTCCACACTTAGAAATTACCTGAGGAAGCCCTACCCCTTGGGTCCAGCCCCCCACCGGTCTGGACCGGTTTCCACCCTAGCACTTTTCAAAGGCCGAATCAGGCAGAGGCATGCGGGCATCTGGGTGTTCACAAGGCTTAGATCTGACTAGTCTGGCATGGTTTTCTTTCCCCCAGAAAGAGCCCTGTTGCCAAAGCTGTCCCACTGTTGCTGCCGCCTGAGCCTCCATCCCCAGCAATGGCTCCAGGAAGCTCTGCCCCCCCCCCGCTGGGGTGAAGAGGGGTGCCTGAAAACAGGCGGGCCACTTAACCCTTTATCAGCAGAGTCTCCCACCACAGGCACTTCCTCCTTCTGGTTTATGCTTTGATCCCTGACGCCCAGCATGTCATGAGCAATTGGAGGTGGCTCGAGACCTCCACTTTGGCCCAGGTGAAGGTATAAGAGAGAGAGAGAGAGAGATGGGCATGGTAGACCTAGAGCAGCAATGACAATAAGAGTTTGGATAGGTTGCATCATTCCATTCTTCTTTCATCCTTACTGAACATTCTTGGAGTTCAGATTTGCAAAGATTACCCATGTAGGCCTTGAACTCTGCTGGACACAACTAGTGCTGAACTAGTGGATGGAATGTTCCTCTATGTGTGTGTGTGGTTTTTTTTGCGTGTGTGCATATGTGTGCGTGTGCGTGCGTGCACGTTCATATGCAAAAAAACAATACCAGGCAAAGCATAGAGCTAGATCTATTTTCTATCATTGGGCTATTATTCTGCACAGAGAGTGTGCTCCTCTGTATTCAAGCAAATGGACATGCACACACCCAGAGCCACTCAGCAAGAACATTAAGTCATAAACATGATGTAGAACCAGGAATGCTTCCAAGCTGTCTTGGCTGTGGATTAAAAACCTATTCTGTGTGTAGCAAGTGCCTGCCTGGAGGGCATGTGGTAATTCCTTGCTTCTTACCTGGGGACACTGAGGCAGAGGTCCCCTTTCGCAAAGGGCTGGGGGCTGTCCTTACCCGGCACAGCCAGCCCGTCTCCACCGTAGTGGCAAACCAGCGACCCAAAGAGGCTACCCAAGCTCTGGAGGCAGAAGCAGGAAGCTGCGGCCACCGCTTTGTTCTGACGCACGCATGGCCTTTGATGAGCTAAGTGGAGAGAGTGGCTCAGTCTCTCTCACACATGCAATCTCCCACATGGGGGAACATGTGCAGGCAGCAGGCAAGGTCACGTGAGCCATGCGGGGATTGCCATTGGCTGGCACTGCTTCATGCCACACCTGGAACAACTGCAGTTGCTGCAGTGACACTGTTTTGTTTTGTAAAACAATCCACTGGCAAGCAAGCCTGAAAGCACAGTGCCTTGCTGGCCCCTTCCCTCACCCTGCCTGTGCCGCCACTTGTTACTCGGCAGCGTGTGTGTTTGTACACACCAGAGGAGGAGGAGGAGGAGGAGGAGGAGGAAGAGGGGTCCTCTGTGGTAAGGAAAGAGAGAAAACCCATCAGCCTGGCACCCAGACACATCACCTTAGGCTTCTCTTTCCAGGGAGGGGCCATAAAAGCAGAGCCCGCTTTCGTTCATCCTTTGCAACGTTCGCCCAGCAGCAGCAGCTGCAAGAAGGGTTTGCCTGTTTGTGGCCAGGCCTCTTCTCTCTCTCAGTGTGTGTGTGTGAATCTTTTCCCCATGGCCAGTGGCATCAGTCAAGTCACCTTTTCTTATCCTACAGGGAAAAAGCAGAGCCACTTGGCTGCTCAATGCCTGCTTAGCCACCTGCTGCCTGCTCTTCTGGCCAGCCTGGCAGGGAGGGACCCAGCAAAGTAATGCAGTTGCTCCCTGGAACAGCCTTACTGAGCCAGGCAGGTGGGAGGCAGAGAAAAGGGCTGCCTCCCTAAACCAAAATCAAATAAAAATTTAAAAAAAAATCCCCGCCACCTGCAAGAGAAGACTTCGACAATGACAATGATGATGGTCTTTGAACTCATAAGATCATCTAGTCCAGCCTCTGTCAAGGAGGCTTAGTGGGGAATTGAACCCCCAATCTCTGGCTCCATAACCAGATGCCTAAATCCCTGAGCTATCCAGCAGGTCCACTGACTTCTTTCCCTCCATTGCATAATCTGTAACTGGACTTTTAAAGTTTGGTTTTAACATGCTTGCCCAAGAAGCATCTGCTAGTAGAGCACCACGTGAGCATTTTATATAAAGGAATCTCTTCTTCTTTGCCCCTGCAAGTCCTGTGGGGTGTGCGTCCATCTGCCCACCCAGATTAATCAAGGGGGCAAAGCCGATGCTTCTGCCTGCATCCAGGGAACGGTAGGTTTCTTCTCTGGCTGCCTGGATGGCTCCTGTAGCTTCTCTTGCCCATCCTGGCCAAGCCACCAGTGGTTGCCCAAAACCACCACCAATGTGCCATTTTTATTCTGCCAAGAAAGAGAGGCTTTGCACACAGCCTACAAGCAGCCTCCTTTGTGAGGGGCGCTTACGGCACTAGGGAGCCAGTGAGTTTCGCTTGTTTGGAAAGAGTGGGGAGCCATTTTCCATAGGCTGAAAACAGTTCCAGGTATGACTGAGAAAACAAATTGCACCACCTCACTGAGTGTGCAGAAATTAGAAACTCTCTCTCTCTTTGCAGGCCCTCTGAAAACGCAGACCCTTGGCTGGTCTTGTTCCAGGATGTTTTCCTTCACCGACTCATAGGAGAGACCTTCACAGTTCTGTTCAGGGCATGGAGCCTGGACAAAGTCAAGGCAGGAGTGCTTTCCTGGGACTCCACCTCACTTGCGGACACTTGCCAGACAGCAGATAAGCCAGGGTGGGGGTGGGGGCAGCTTTGCAGAGCAGAGCAGCAGGTGGACAGACTTGCTTTCCAGGAATGGGGCAGTTTGCTTGAAGGGCTCCCAAGCCTCTCCCCACCCCCATCTGCAGGATTGAAGCCTCAGGTCAACTGATCCTCTGCTGCCTCTTCCCCCCTCCCCCCCGTTTCTTTCTTTGCGGGCTGCCTCTCAATAAAATTCTCCAGTCCTTTGCACATCTTAGGCTGTTTTGCTGTAGAAACCAAGCACGGGGACATAGAAAGGCCCCTGGAGCACCCTCTTAAAGCCGTGGGGGTGCCCTGACTCCCCTCCTCCCAGCATCACTCCATCTTAATACATCTTGGGGAGGTACCACCACACCCACTGGGCTGCAGACAGAAGCATCAGGGAAAGCTTACTAAGAGCACACATAAACAGCCGTGGCCTTTCTAGAGGGCACCAGGGCTGATGGCACAGTAGGCAGCCCGTGGCAAAAGGAAGGCGGAGGGGTGTGGGTGTCCCTAGCAAGACCTCAGGGTGCTCAGAACACAAAAGATTCCCTCTGCCTAGCAGTCGGGGAGAGAGCAAGTGGAGGGGGACACAGGGGTTCTCCAGAAAGCGGCTCTGGGTAGGGGACTGAACCACTGGGGCGGGGGGGGGTTTGCAGGGGTCTCCCCATCCTGGAACCCCTGGCTTTGCTACCTCTGTAGCTGCTTCCCTCCTCCCTCCACTACATTTTCCATGCAGAGCATCCAGTATCCTTCTCCTCCCACGCACCCCCAGCAAGAACACAAAACCTCTCCTTGTAGGAGATTAATATATAAAAAAACTATTCTTTATTGCAGTATCTCAAAATGTACACCATCAGTTAGAGAAAATGTCAAAGAAGCAGAGTTCCCACCAAAGCAGGAGGAGGTGAAGGGGTGCACCCGTGCCCACTGGCTCAGGGCCCTACCCCCACCCCCCTAACACGCCGCCCTTGGTCTCTTGTGCTCAAGTCCACATACAAGTTTAGTAAGGCAGCTGGAGCTGAGCCCACCCACAGAGGGTTTGTCTGTGGACAGAATTCAGTAAGCAAACTGTTTAACGCAAAGGCTTCTTTTTTGCCCACCTGCTGGGCCCCTCCCTTGCCACTCAGTGGCACTAAAGCTTCGTTCCAGTCCAAGTCCGTTCAAGCCCTCCAGAAGGCACGTGCACATGCGCACCGTCATTCTGTACATGGCAGTCTCACTTCTTGCACCCCCAGCCCCAGAGAGGATGACCAAACGGGGGGGGGGGAACAGGGCTAGTGCTAGCCAACTAATCAGATGCCCAGGGCAAACAGCAGCTGCTTCTCATGCCAGGGCAAGTGGGGGAGGGGCCGTCCTCTTCCTGTCAAAACTGACCATCAGCCTCATGTGCTTCTTCTGGGTTAACAGTCTTTAGCCTGGCAGGAGGAGCCCCCACCCTTAGAGGGTGCCCCCCCCTGCTCAGGGCACCGGCCTCTTCAAAAAGAGGGGCCCGGGGGAGAGAGAGAGGGAGCCGACCCGGAGCTCCTCCACGGGAGGACAGTCCGTGCGCACAACCTTGCATGCCCTCCTCCTTTCAGCAGGAGGCAGTCTCTGGCCACCCCACGCAGGGAGGCACAAACCAACAGAGCCCCTCATTGGGGGGGCGCGCCCACGGGCGGGGGGGCACCCTGTTGGGGCCACGGCCCAGCTGGACTCCTCCAAAAGAGACGAGGCAACCATTCAAGGAGGTTGAAGTGGAATCAGTTCTGTGGCTCTGCCCACCCCATATGGGCAGAGCCACCTTACACCGCAGAGCCCGCGGGGTGCTGGGCCGGGGCGGCCGCCCCCAAGGGCCCGCTCGGTCTCTCGGCCGCTGCAGGGGAGACGGGCGGGCTCTCTCCAGGCAGGCGCGACTGGAACTTCTGCAGCTGCTCGGGGCTGGCCAGGTTCTTCAGGAGGCTGTTCTCCCGCTCCAGCTGGGAGTTCTTCTCCGCCAGCTCCTTGATCTGCTCTTTCAGGATCTCCACCTCTTCCCGCACAGCGTACATCAGGTGGTTCTTAACCAGATCCTGTGGGGGAGGGGAGGAACAAAAGCGCTGGTGAGTCAAGGGTGCTCTGTTGCCGGCTGGGCTGGGCTGCTGCTCGGGGAGAAAGCTGGCCACTCCCTTCCACCGCCACCAAACGCCTTCAGCAACCTGGGCACCAGGAACCGCCTGAGCAGCCCACAGAGGAGGAGAAACAGCCGTCTGCCTGCCCGCCTGCCTGCCTGCCGCTGGGGTGCCCGCATGACAGGCTGAGAGGCGGGTCCCTGATCCCCCTGGTCCCCCTGATCTGCCCGGCTGGTTTCCCACTGGCCAGAAGGGAAAGTGGTCTGCTTGCCTGTCCGGGAAAAGAAACCTGTCCCGCTCAGAGGCCTCAGGCACCCCTCTGTCCTTAACGAAGCCAGGACAAAACAGGGCTTGGCAGCAAAGGCATTCAGCCGACCGCCAGAGGCGGCGCGCTCCGCGGTCTCTGGGTGGGGATCGCGACTAAATGTCACAGGTCGGGGCGGGAGCGGGGAGAGAAGAACCCACCCCCCCCAACTTCTTCCATGACCTTGAGACCATTGCCTGGAAGGTCAGGGCTCAAGGCGCAACTCCTACGACCGAGGCTCTTCCCCTTGAGCGCGCGGGGGGGGGGGACACGAGGACTCCCGCCGCCCCATCTCAGCCCCGGAGCGCAGCCGGACTGCCCTTCCTCTCGGCCACCGCCGCCGCCGCCGCCGCCGCCTGGGCGAAGGGGCCAAGCAAACAAAGGGCCGCGCCCCGCTTGCCTGCTTCTCTCCCGCCGCCCCTCCCTCCCTCCCTCCCTCCCACTCGGAGAAACCCACTCACCATGGCCTGCTCGATCTTGTTGTCGATGGCGACGACGCTGGCCCCGGAGGCGCTGCCTCCCTCCCTCCCACTCGGACCGTGAGACAAAGAAGGAGGCACCGTGAGAAAGGAAAACGGGCGAACCCGAGGCGCGTCTCCCCCTCTCCCCACTCCGGGCCCGGCGATCCCCCACTCCGCTCCCTCCGCCTCTCTACCTGTTGTCCAGCTTGACCGAGACCACGTCTCCCCCCAGCAAGGAAGAGAAGAAGGAGATGGAGAAGTTGTGCAGCTGGTAAACAGCCACCTCCATCGGGTTCTGGTACACGCCGGTGCTCATGGCTACGAGCGAGCGTCGAAGGGCGAGCGAGAGACGGAGCGGGGAAACGGCCCGAGTGCGCGGCGGCGGCGGCGACCGAAGGCCAAGGGAACGTACCTCCTACCCACCCACCACCACCACCACCGGACGGGAGAGACGGCTGCGTCTATTTCTGCGCCCGCCTACTTTATATAGCGAGGCTGCGGACACGTCACATGGGCTCAGCCGGGCATGCAAATGAGGCCCCGCCCCGTCCCGGGCCCCGAGCCAGAGACGGCCACCCCGGCCACCGCGCCCCCCCCGGCAACCGGGAGACAGATATGACTACCCCACCTGTAGGGCCAGGCCAGGGGATGCCTCCACCAGGGGGATGAAGAAGGAGGAGGAGGAGGGAGTGCGCGCGTGCCGTCGGACTGGGCTGCGAGCGAGATGAGGGGCCCGGAGAGGTCTCCGGGAGAGTAGCGGCCGCTTTTCAACCCCGTGCAGTGGAAGCGAGGGCAACCCTTCGCCCTTCTTTTCTGCAACCGCCGCCGCGTCCCCCCTGCCTGCCCTCCTCGCCCCCGCTCGGCGGACCCCTCCTTCCGCCCGCGACTCCTCGCTCGTTTGTTCTGGAGGAAGGAGTTCCAACGGGCTGGAGGCGGCCGAGGGATTCCTTATAATCAGCCGGCTCTTACGAAGGCCGTAGGCCCCCCCCCCACGTCTTTCCCCGGCTGGCACAGCAACGGCTGCAATCCTAGGAAACGGATTGCCTTGCGCTGCAAAAGACAGGCGTTGCACGGCGGGGATGGCGTGGCCCGGGGCGCCTCCTGGGTTCCCTCGCTGCAGAAGTTTTTACACAGGTGCATCAAAACAAACCTGTCTCTCTGTGTGTTTTGTTTTTCCTCTGCTGAAAGAGAAAGGTTGCAAAACGCGAGGCTGGTTCCAGAAATGCAAAGTATCGCCCAGAACTAGGTCGAGAGGTTTAAGATTACATAAGAAGCCACCAAAACATGTTATGATGGGAGCGACTTTTCGCCAGATACCCGAGCGCCGCCCTCCCTCCCGCCTCCTTGCGCTCCTCGCGTGCAACCCACGCGCTTTCGTTTTCTCGGCGAGGGCGACCCCTGGCGGCCACTCCTCGCACGCACCCACTCACGGACGGGGACAGGGACGGGGGGGGGGGGTGCCGTGGCGGCGAGGGGACGCTTCGCCACCGATGATCCCGGCACCAAGGCTGGGAGGTCTGGGCGCCTCCGAGAACAGCCAGAGGCGCTTGTGAAGCCTCCCCCGCGCAGCTGTCCGTTCATGCCCGCTAGCTATCTGAAGCTCCTGCTGATGGTGTGGGCCAGGTTAACTAGCAAGATGCTCTCTCACCCACCCCCCCCGCCCCACCCCCGCGTGCACCCGCAGGCGGCTAAACACACCCAAAGGGCACATACGGGCATTTTGCACGGAGAAAGGCTTCTATTGCAACAGCCCACCCTGACGGGCACGATCCATCGAGACCCCCACCCCCCAGCCATGCCCTTTTGTTGGCTGAAAACAACGCAGACCACATATTCCAGAGGTTTAGCCTAGTTAGTCCTCAGGTGCAGCAAAACCAACCCAGCATCTTGCAGCAACTGGAAGGCTGGCAAATCCAGGGCTTGACCTCCTGCTTTGTGGCTGGCAGTCCATGGAGGCTTAGAAGAACTGGATCCTGCCCTCAGTCTCCTCAGTGCTGCAAGACTCTGAACTGGTTTTGCAGCACAAGCAGAAGAAAGCCAACACAGGTCTCTGCAGAGGGCCCAGCCCGGCCCCCTCGCCTGCTCAGCAAGTAGCAGAGCATCTCTGGCTAGTGGTGGGAGGAGGGGAGTGCAGCTGGACGGGGGTCCTCACCCCAACCCCTCGGCTCCCCAGTCTGTCACCACAGAGTAGCCAGCGGCTCTGCTAAACAGAAGGGAGGCCCGCTGGAGGCTCGGCCCTGGCCTGGGAAACCCCTCGCGCCCTTCCTCTGTGCCCGTTCACGGGTGCCCACCACCCAGAGGGGCTGCAGAACCTCTGCTGGGAAAACCATACCCGGAAGCAACAACAACACAGGAAGCCAGAGAGCAGCTGCCCCGTGAAAACGTCATCAGGCATCGCCCACCCAGTGGAAATCTGCTTGGGCCAAATTCCTGCCACTGTCCCCACCAGCCTCCCCCAGCCGTAGTTAAGAACGGAAATGCGGCTGAGCCTCAGTAGGAGGCTAAGAGTCTCCCCTCCCTGCCAGGCTACTGTGTTCCCAGTGAGGCTCAAGTGTGTGCGCGTGTGTGTGTGTGTGTGTGTGTGTGTGTGTGTGTTTGTGTGTGCATGTGCATGTGCGTGTGCATGCGTGCGCACACAGAGCCTAAAGCAGGTCCTGTCGCCAGATCTGAGCACGAAGCTTTTCTTCAACCTCTGCTCACCTTCTAATGATGGCCTCAGTTTCCCCTTCGTCAAAGGGGCAGGGGGTGTTCCTCACCAACTCCCACACGGCGGTGAGGTGCCAAGGGTGAGAAGGTGCTGAGCGAGCTTTCCTGCTGGCCAGGTGTCTTTCTTCCCCGCCTCCATCCCGGCCTCTCTCAGTGGGGGCAGCCAGGAGGGAGACTCAGCGCTCCCCAAGCCAACCTGGCCTCTCCTGTTCTTCACAGCTTGCCCTGGGGATGGTGGTGGCGCTGAGGACTCCTGTCTGAAGGAAAGCGAGTCGCCTGCTGGCAAGTTCCCGCTTCCAGCTGCTGGGCGGCCACTCCCCGCGATAGAGGCCCTGGCAGTACTCCCAGTTCTGGGTTTGCCGGCAAGCTAGAACATGGTTCAGGCGGGGCGGGTTCAGCCTGGCAGAAAGCACTGGGGCCAGCGATCTGGAGACCTCTGAGCTCAGGGGCTGAGGGGGGAGGGGAGGCCCAGTGGTGGTGGTGGTGGTGGTGGTGGTGGCTGCCCCCGCCTCCCTCCACCCCTCCACCCCACCTCCGCCTTCCCAAGCCGCCCTCTCCTGACCATGAGATCCCCAGGAATCCAGGTACTGCTCTGTGGCTTGGAGCAGACACATCTCTTGGCTGAGTGACAGCTTTTGATAGGGACCTGCTCTTTGCACCGAGACCATATCCGTGAACCAAATTGGGATCTTTTATTGCTTTCAGAAAAGCGATGAAAACAAACACTTCATTCATTTTGAAATGACAGGTGGCTGTCTTTTTTTGCACAGAGTGGGGGAGAGCAGGGCAGGGAGTCCTGAAGGAAGACTTTCTTTTGGAGAAAGGAGGGCAAAACCTGGAAGCGATACGGACTGGGACCTACAGCGCCAGGAGGCTGATTTCCTGACTGCTTTGAATGTGTTTTGGGGTTTCCCTTGGGGTTTTTATTTTTAGTATCATCCTTGTTTGCATTTGCATACTTACTGTTTTTAGCATCAGATATTATCTTTTAAATGTTGTAAGCTGCCTTGCACCCTTTCAAAGGAGAAAGGAGGGGTAAAAGCATTTCAAATAAACCAACAAATAAATGTCCAGGCTCTGGAGCCGGGTTGTCGTCATCGCTCCCTGTTTTTGAGCTGCCTGGCAGGCCGTTGACAAGGCTGCTGCTCCAGAGGATGCTGCCGCCTCTACTTAGCAATTTTAGAAATGTTTGCCAGTGAAGCATCAGCTGGAACATGGTTCGGCGCATCAAATGTTTGGCTTTTGAATGTCATATTTTGGGATGCCACCTTGGCCTCCATAGGATGCCTTCCTGCGAGTCCATAAGGTGTTTGTACGTTGGCTCTGTTGGTTCCCTTCTGACTGTATTGGCCTCCTGAGCTTTTACGGAGCACTGGTTTCAGACGGGAGGGGCTCAGGCAGGCCCTGTGTGGGCTCTTGCATGCAGCCCAGAGAACAGAGGAGTGGGTGGACAGTTATGCCAGGAATGGTTGCCTGCTCAGAGAAAGGGCAAGGGTATGCGTGGCAGCAGCGGTTACTCCCCAGGGAATGGTGGGTAGGGGAACAGCCTGTGGTGGCCCACAGCAGCAGCCCAGGGATGGAGGTGGGGGGCCATTCTGGCCCCTCCCAGGCCAGGAGGGGTAACATTGCCTAAAGTTGTTTACTCAGCAGGACTCTCACGGCTGGACTCCTTTGCTCACAATTCCAGGCCATCCCTCCCTGCAGTTCTTTAACCCCCATTCTCCCCCCCCTCCATGCTCACACCTGGGCATCACGGGTGAGTGATCTGAGGCTGTCTCAGGAAACCCCCCCCTTTTTTTTTTCTGGCCATGCTGGCTAGGGCTAGGACTGCCTTCCTGCCCTTCTTGTCTCTCTCAGGGAAGTGGTATCCCCTTCGCCTTTCGTGTGGTTGGGCCTCACCCTGCCAAGGAATTGGAGACCAGACACACACACACACACACCCTCCCCCCCACCCCCAAGTGGGCTGCCTGGCATCCTCTGGGTCTGCCCCTCGCTTTCAGCGGCCTCTGGGCTTGGTGGCCTCCTGTAGGCAATGCTTCTGGGCAGATCTCAGCACCAGCTCGTGCTGGGGGTGTCTTTCTTTTTTTGGAAAGTGTTGGAGGGTCTCCATCAATTGTAGACTTGCCCTTAGATTCTCTTCTCTCCTCTCCTCCCCCCCCCATTCAGGGTTTCTGCTTTGGGGTAAACCTATATGCATGATTAGTAGAGCACAGTTCCCCTGTTTTTTCCATTGCCCTCTCTCTTTCGCGCTCAGCCCTGCTCCAGGGAGCTCAAAAGGCCTGCCTTGTTTTTGTCCCAAGTCCCCACCCTGCCCCACTCCAAAGCACTGAAGCAAACGGGAAGGCC